AGTAAAATTAAATGCAGACACACAGAAATAAAAGTTCAAAAACTAAGAAAGTGGCCAGCTTAATCATAGGGACAAGTCTGGGGTTGAATATTATATCCCAGAATTTAATCGGGAAAATTGAACCAGAACAGAAGATAAAGTATATGAGACTGAATTGGTAAAGTAAAATTTTATGACTTTTGACGAAAATATTGCTGATTTTCTTGTAGACTTTGTTATCTGGTTGTTAAGGATTTGTGTCCTGTCTTGAGATATGGATAGGTTCATGCACCTACCATTTGAACAGAATCTTACCCTCTTTCCTGGCTTTAAGCAAAGTTCCTTAGCATTTCTTTGATTTAAGTTAAAACTGGTTTTCTTAATAGTACCAAGTGAACTTGCTATTGAAAGTAGTTAGATTATTTAATAAATTGTGTGATCAATACAATGTGGGTGGGAAAGCAATGGAAGACAATTGTAGACACCAGAGATAGTGTGAGAAGAGGGTAGGAACGAACAGAGGGTCAGAAATAAGGGTAAAAAAAATTCTAGAAACTAGAAATAGAAAATTTTTGATAATAATATGCATGATTACGCCACTATGCTGTATATTCTGGATGAGAAATCACATTTTGTATGCTGTGACAATACTTAGGGAATAAATGTAAATTAAGTAAATAAAAAGTTTCAGGGGAAAAAAAACAACTAAAACTGTTTTTCTTTAAATTAAAAAAAATGCATTAAAAATACCTATTCGATGACTGCAGTAAGATATATAGCCCCAGCTAGGTTCTACTTTATAGAATGTTAATTCTACTCACTGAGGCTTATGCCTATAGTTGGACTTGTGTTCATGGAAATGTATATATCAGCTGTGCTTGCTATGAAAATATTTATATTAATTAAGATCTTTAGTGACTTAATAAAATGTGGGGGAAAAAAGTATAGAAAGCAAACAGATAACAGAGACAGTGTGGGAGGAGAGTGGGAGATGGCAGAGGGTAAGAGATAGGGAATCAAGGATGGGAAAAAGAGGCAAAACATACAGAAAACAAAAAATGGAAAATTATTTGTTGACGATAACATGTATGTTGATGGGCTTGATTGAGTCAATATACAGTGTACTCTGGATGGACAATCTCACTTTGTATGCTGTAATGATGTACAGTGAATGAATGTAAATAAATAAATTTAATAAAAAAAAAATAAATGAATGAATGAATAAATAAGATTAAAATAAATAATTCTTTAAAAAATTATAAAAACGAGGAATCACACAAAGAGAAACACACAAAGAGAAATCACACAGACACTATGAATGGCAAGTAAGTACATGAAAAGATACTTGACATCATTAATCATTTCAAAAATGTATATTAAAACCTAAATGAGAAATTCAATACACATTCACTAAGAAGTTTTTTTTTTTTAATGATTTTTTTTCTGTAGAGATTTTTGCCTTAGGACACATGTGCTCACAGGAGAGAGAAAGAAAGAAATAATGAAAGGACAAAGACAATCAAAGGAAAAATGAGAAATCACCTCCAGTGGGGATGGTCATCCCACAATCCCTTCTCCATTCTCCTCCCAGGATCTTAGGTATACATGCACATGTACCCGATGTGAGTTTCAAGCCACTGGATCCGGGACTCAAACCATGGTTGTACATGTCGGAGTCCAGTGATGCAATCGCTACACCATCTACTGGCTCCAAAAGGTTTGTTTAAAAAATGATGATATGGGGACCAGCAGTTAGAGTAATGGCTATGTCGTTGGATTCCCATG